TCCTAAAGACTCAGAGATAACCCTTGACCCTGTTATCTTTGGTCTACATTCATTCATGTATTTTACCAGCTGTTTCTCTTTCCTGTATGAAATTGAAAGTCCCATGCAAATACTGGCTACCAAAAGAAACAGCAAGGGAATTGAGCTCAAAACTCTGCCAAAAGGAACAAAATGCAAACAGAAGTATTTCAAATCTCTTCACCACTTAACTGCAAACTCAGGACCCAAATCTGTCAGCATTTTCATACAGCTGTCTCAAAACAAGAGTAACTTTTACATCAACATATACAATATTGTTCTTCTGAGGGATTTTAAGGGCTTTAGTAGTACATTCTTACTGTTCCTGAAAGTTTTATCTCATTAATCCTGAATTTTCAGGGGATTCCTGTTATTATACTATCAAACTTGCATATTATACACCTTTCCATCTTTAATATTAATATAACTACTAGAAGTACTGACAGACAGAAACTTTTAACCCCCTTATTCACCATTATGTTTCTTTCCTTAAATTAGGGAAGTTTAAGTTAAGCTAACATCCTTAAACTAAAAAAACTAATCAAACTTGCTATTTCTATTTACCAGTGTGAAAATAAAATTCCCCTGATGTGCTGACATGTGTTTTTCCTCTTTTCACTTCTAGGTTTCTACAAGGGGAACAAGCATCACTGGGATCCATTATCCAAAACAAACATCAACATGTGTAGCAGCTCCTATTAGGAACTAGGGTAAATAAACATTTACAATGACATTTGTATGAAGTAAAAACAGCTGAAAGCACCAGTCATCTAGCAGGAAATATGAGAAACACTAACTTCACAGTTTCCCGAGTACCAACAGCAATTTCTTTGCAATTAGGTTACCTCATGGAGCAAAACCGAAGGTGCCCTGCACTTTAAACAAACACTGGCTTATTCCACACAGAAGAGAATCTTGAAAACAAAAATAACCTGAAGCTTCGACAGGAAGGTAGTAACCTTCTCCTTATGCCTTGTAAGGGGAAGAACACATTCTGAAAGACATCCATGGTTATGCCAGGAATCTATTTTAGGGTCAAGGGTTCTCTAAGGTCCAAGTGTTTGGCAACTCAGTTATAGACCAACTGGCCGTTTTCTGAAAGGGAGTGAAAAAAGTCCTTATCATGGCAGTACCTGCCACATTCTTAACTAATATCACCTTAGATCTAAGAAACATCAAACAACCCCAAGGGTCTTTCACCTTTACTTGACACATTTCAACTGTGTCTGATCTTCCTGAAGAATTCAAACATTTATCTTAAATACATTTTTAGAGCTTTTGCTATTTTAGCCACTGGAGGGATTTGTTAAGAACCTCTGTCAGAAAATCAGTGTTTGGCATTACAGATCAATTGTAGACAGTTCTATAATCAGGATAATTAAACAGATTCCTCCCTATACTCTCACTTAGTAAATTAGTAAACAGACAAATTTCTGCAAGAAGCACCAAGAGTAAAGAAGGAATTAGGAAGTAAACCCAAGACTGTCCAACCCTAAGCTCAGAAGAGCAGCTGGCCACCTCCTAACCCAAACCAGTCCCTCCTTCTGCTGACAAAATGGGTAAGTTCTCATGCCCTGGTGGAAGTTCGCATGATACAAATATACTGGCATCAGCTTTCTGAAAATGAAGAACTAATCATAAAAACCTGGAAATTATTTCTGTAGTCAACATGTGAATTTTTATTTGATATACCAATTACAACTGGCAAGTAGATTAATCCAAAACACATCAGTCTTCTCTATAAAAACATTAAGGTCATTCTGCTCCTTTTTTGTTGCTTAAGTAGTCTAATAACAAAAACCCCAACTGATATACTTGAACTAAAATGTTCATCTAAAGCCTACATTTCAATCACAAGACTCTGTAATTGAAAAATGCAGCACATTCAATGTACTGTTTGGTTTGGAATAAAAGCACCTGAGTTCATACAACTAACATGCTGCCAGCAGCGACAACAGTTGCTATTTGACTAGGAGATGGAAAGCCAGATGATATGCCGAAAATTCCACAGTTCAACTCCTGAAATGAGCTGTGCAATGCAAACAAGTAGTTCTCAAGGAACAGAAGTAACATCAAGAGTTTCACCTGAAGCATAATTTTCTATTGTGATCCACTTAGTAACAGTTGCCACAGCGGCAAGATACTATTAGCAAAGGCAACTGTGGTAACTATGTAGTTTGTGGAAACAGATCCTGACGAACAGGGCTACCACAACAAAACATGACTTAGGTGATTTCAAACATGTCACAGCATGAACCTGAACTGCAGCTACGCTATTGATCCAGTCAGGTATGGCGTACTCTTCAGTACAGACTGCACCATGGCAGTTTTGCACAGTCTAGAAAACTATGCTCTAAGGTGACAGCAAAGTTATTCCACGGAATCAACTGCTTACATATTCTATCAGTTAAAACTGCCTTAACAAATGTGTTCTTAAAAGTTAGTAACCATTTTTTTATTAAAAAGTATTGATTTTTCCCATCTTATTTCCTGTGTGATGCTCTCCTCATGTTGATGGCTGTTCTTTTTACATATAGAACTTGAGAGAATATCTTATTTTCACAGTCAGGAAGGTCCGAGTAGTATATACGAAAAGGGTTACACATGAAAGAAGTAGTACTTGTTGCACTGGCTAATGCATGAACTAGTCCAGCAAAATGATTTAGATGAGCTTTCCCCTCTATCAAAAAACAAGGGGAAAGCATCAGTTCAGCGATGGTGCTAGAAACTACATTTAAACCATTTCCAAATCAATGCTTATTTTCTTTCTTTTTAAACTTCATAGTTAGTATTTCTACCACAAAATATTGGTTGTATTTACAATTAATATGCAGTTATGAAACAGAGATGGGATTCTTAAAAATGAAGGTACCTATGAATTACTTGGGAAAAAACAAAGCACTTAGTGCTGAGTAACTCCCTCACCATCACTACACCCAGGGCCAGCACTGCTAAGTGTTTGTCAGACCTGTTGGAAAGGGATAAGGACACAAAGATAGGAAAAAAGGGATCAGGAGAAAAAATTATTAGATATATGACACTAACTCCCAACATAAACTTGTAATGGCCCAAAGTATTGCAGGCTATTAGTTGCTGAATGGATCATAAAAAAACCTAGGCAGCTTTAGAAAAAACCCATGATGGCCGGCCCCACCTGCATTACTAAAACAGCAGTGTCATCAGTTACACTTTCATTACAGAAAGCAGGAACTGAAGTCTGAACTTAGACATTACAGAAAAAAAAACAAAAAAAACCAAAAAAAAACCAAACCCACAACCATAAAGCCAGCAGATTGAGATAATAATGTTGTGCCCATACAGTCTCCAGCAAAACCTAAAAGAAAACAAAGCTTCCTTCCTTTCCTTAAGTTTCATTAAAGACTAAAGATCACTCAGGTGACCTGTACTCCACCATGCCTGCCAAGAAATCATGAGATGACCCTGAGTAACTCTTCTACTACTAAGCACGACTAAATACACACAGAAAGCTATATTGAACTAAGGGCACAGGAAACACATAGCTGGCACAGGAGGAAACGGCTTTCAGCCTTTTCCTCACAGCATAACCCTTTACCCAACTGGCCAGCAGCTAAGCACAGACCAGACTGCTGTGCAGAAACGAGCTATGAACAAGTTGAGCTGAGCAGTCTTCACTGAGTCTTACTAAAGTTTCAGGTTTATAAACCTGTCTCTATCATTACTTATGATTTTGCCTAATTATCTCTGCTGTGCAGAGCTATAGAGTTCAAGTGCTACAATAAATAAGGCAGCACTCCATTTTTTTTGATTGTTTACAGGAATGTGAAGGCTGAAGATAAAACACGCACTTGTCCATCTCAGGCCTCCCAGTGTATAATCGCTCGCCTCTTAAACAGAGTCAGAAGTTCAGGGAGCAGTAAAAGCACCTACATACCTACGTATCAGGTACGTAACACGGGAAACCTGCAAATGTGCTGGAAGCAGAGGAACTGCTAATGTGTATCCAACTCACCCAGACGTGCTCAGAGTGAAACACTGTGTGATCCTTCTCTATGAAACACTCCAGCCCAGAGGCAGGCAGTTCACGTTGTCAAGGAGCACATACGGAAATCCAAGCTCTCATTGGATGCAGTCTTGTCGCTTCTCCCACTTCCCCACAACCACACTCATAACCCAAATACACTTCTATAATTAAGCCAAACAGGATCCCCAGCTTTCTCTTTTAAGCTTGGTGTGTGACTGCACACATCCCAAGCATTACAAAGCTTAATGACATGAAGACAGACTAACACCTGCAAAGGTACCAGTTACCTCAAACTTCACCAATGCTACAAAGGCCACATATTCTAACTATATTCGTCTCTCCGAATTCTTCTACTTTCATGGGCAGAAACCTCCATAACCGCGTCAAACCGCAGCAGGCACCAGTATCGAACCGCACTGAAGTAACACAGCGGCCTTTAGACGCTAGCGTTCCCCGCTTGTCACTCCTGGACTGCTGAGGGGACAAGCGCGCTTGGGCAACCTCCCTGACGCGTTTGAGCAGGGCTCAGTATGTTTCTCCACAGAAACGCCAGATAACGGTGGAACTCCTGGCGCGGGATCAAAGGAAACGAGCTATTTATAAGGGAAACCTCTACCCCTCTTCCTCAACGGCCCACGTTCCCCTCGCGTGTTGCCTGTAACAGAACGCCACACACGGGACCGGGCCCAGAAAGCACCGCCTCAGGCTCCCAGTGAGGCCCAGGGCAGCCGGAGCACCCCCGGGCCTGGGCCGCAAAGCGCACAACCAGTCTGGAAGCGCCGATCCAGGCCGCGGCTGCCGCCAGCAACGGGCAGGACGTCCACAGTCCAGGGAAGGCGGGAAAACCCACCGGAGCCGCTTCCGTGTGCAGCGGTAAGGCCGCGGGGAGAGCTGCAGGGCGGCACGCACCGCGCATCCCGCTCCGCGGAGCCCGTAAGGGAAAAGGATGGGCGGGAGGGCCGAGGCCGGTGTCACTTACCCGCCGGCGAAGAGGTGCACCAGGGTGTCTCTCTGGCTCATCCTCGCCGCCTGCACCCGGCGGGAGGAAAGACTCGTCCGGGCGGCAATTGCCAGCCCTCAGCATTAATGCGCACCGCGGCGTCGGCTGCGGAGGACGGCGGAGGGGGCAGGAGGCGGAGCTTAGCCTGGCTCCGCCCCCCGCTAGGAGCCGCAGCGGCAGGCGGGGGACTTACCTCATGAATATGCAATGAGCCCCCGGTTAACAGAGGACGCCACTGGCGGGGGGGGGTGCGACGTCACCGCCTGAGGCGCGAGCTGCCCTGCCAAAACTACGAGGAAGGGGGTTATGGCGTAACGCTGTTGTGCCTTCAGTTTCCCAAGGTGTGGGGTTATCACGGCGTGTGGTGGGCTGAGAGGTTTTGGGGGTTCGTTGGTTACATTATAGATCATATCTATAATGTAAATATCTAATGGCTTCACTCGCAATTCGTGGAAACCTCATAGCAGCCTGCTGGTGTCTGAAGGAGGCCTACAAGGATATTGGAGAGGGGCTCTTCATCAGGGAGTGTAGCAATAGGGCAAGGGGGAATAGCTTTAAACTGTCAGAGGGGACATTTACATTAGACATTAGGCAGAAGTTCTTCCCTGTGAGGGTGCTGAGGCCCTGGCACAGGTTGCCCAAAGAAGCTGTGGCTGCCCCATCCCTGGCAGTGTTCAAGGCCAGGTTGGATGGGGCCTGGATCAACCTGCTCTAGTAGAAGGTGTCTCTGCCTGTAGCAGGGGTTGGAACTGGATGAGCTTTAAGGTCCCTTCCAATCCAAACCACTCTGTAATTCTGTCTCCCCTAAAAGGCACCCAAACACTGCTCTCCAGTGACTGTTTCTGAAGTGAGCATTGCAACTCATTGGATGACTTGTCTTTGTTTTTCTTCAAAAAAATATATAGGTAATGGAAAATGAATAATGCTGCACAGGAAAACTCCCAGGATTGTGTATAAAGTTGTCTGAGCCAACGTTTTGAAACTCCAAGCACTCAAAAGCAAATAGGTGATTGCCTACAATCTTTGTGAATATCCATGAAATAAATACAGAATTATTTCAAAAATATAAGGGATTATTTCATAATAGCACAATAACCTTGAATATCTGCATTAATAAAACAAGCACACATTTTGAAGCAGTCCTTTCCTACAAAATACCCTTAAGAAGGTGAGGTGCGGAGAAGACACAAGCTGCAAAAGTCATGTGGAATTGTGCAACTGTAATGGGAGTTGAGGAGGAGGTTGGGTGACTGGCAGAAAGCTTGGAGAAATGTGGGATGTGGAGATGGTGGGGTTAAGAGTAGTTACATTGAACTGAGCCAAGTAAAAGTAGGGTATATATTCCAATTATATATTCCAACATATGGAATATATTCCAGTTTTGCAGTTGGAATTCTGCATTCCTGCTATACACAGCACATTGAAGCTAGTGAAAAACTGAGTAAGAATTGTTCCAAAATAAAATAAGAAAGACTTGCAGAAGCCTATAGTATGCATACATGAGACATGTTAAACTCAACTTTCAGAAAGTGAGAAGGGATCACGTGCAGCTTGGCACAGGATGTCGCACAGAAAAGAGTCAATATATTCAGGTTAATTACAACAGACATTATTTTGAGAGTACTGGAAAACTCTACCACTGATTTACTCAAACACTGCATGAAAGATGAAGGGTTGTATGCCACCTACTTAGTTTTAGGTCATGAGTCCAATTTCTTTCCCAGTTCCCTCAGTTGCTTAAGACAGAACAGAGGATGGCTTTTCTGTAGGCCATGTGATGCCACCCAGTGAGCACATGTCCTTGTAAACTCCAAAGAACATTAAATAACAAAGACTGGTTTATACTGTCTCTGTACAGGTGAACTCCTAACCTGGGAGCTACTAACTTCATCTGGCACTTATGTCTTACACTGTGACAAATGTAATGGGATTATTTTTATGAATGCGTATTGAATAGTAAGAATAAGTACAGCTATTGAACCATTTTGAATCACAGGCTGGGTTGGGTTGGAAAATACCTTTGAGCTCATCTGGTTCAAACCCCTTGCCACAGGCAGGGACACCTTCCACTAGAGCAGGTTGCTCAAAGCCTGTTCTGTTGGGGTTTGGACATACTTTTCCTATTAGCTTGGTGTAGCTAAGGCATGTAATGGGATTTTCCTAAGTTGCAATAAAGAGAAAAGTTTGTGGCAAAAAAATGAAGCCCTTGTTTCTACATTTTCTAGCTCTCATTTCTTCTCAGGATACCACCCCATAGCATGTGCTGCACTTTTCCTTGTGCAGGCTTTGAACAGAAAACACTCCTTAAATTTCATCAATGGTTTTCTGTGTAAGAAGGAGCAACAGAAAAACTTAACCACCCTTCCTGATACAACTGCTTTTCCTTGCTCTTTTATGGCAGATTAAGGTGGGATGATATAATTTCTGCTGCTATTTTTCAGTCAGGCTTCTAAAAATCACATTTGTCTTTCTATTTGGAACTACTGTGTTGGATTCTTGCTCTTATTGTTATGGTTGTAGTGACCCTCTCTTTTTCAAATATTTATGTGGCTACATCACACAAGTTTTCAATATACAGGCAATGAAATGATAACTCCACATTAGAAACACAGATGTAGGTTTCATGGCTTTGTTTACCCTATAGTGTTCTTTAAACAAGCACTTGCTATCTTTTGCTACTGCCAAGGTTAGCCCTTGTAAAACAATAGCAAACAATTTGCCTGTGAAATACCTTTTGTACTAATCAACCTATTATGAAATAGTTACCATTCTTAGATGCTCTATTTATCTAAGTGATACATTATTCCCTTTCCCAGAGGGAAAAGCTCACAGAAATGTATTTTCTCTCTTCAAGCAATGTGAAAACAAGGCTTTTTCAGTTGGGAACTTTGATTCTGAACCATTTTAATCCACTCCTTTCTCCTTCTATGAAATTCTCCTGCTGTCGGATAAAATTATTAATTGATAACTTGCTGTGATGGATGGATGTATTACATGCTTATGGGGAGAGAGGGACATTTCTATCCTTGGAGGACTCAAAAAGTAACAGGTAGGATCCTTCAGTTGAGCAAATTCCTCAAGTTGTATGAATAGAAAAAAAAAAGCCCCAAATAAAAAAAAACCCCACACACAAAACAAACCAATGTCAACACAGGAGTCACAGACAACGCAGGAACAATCAATGTGATCAGCGAATGCCAATTTATTACAAAGCTTTAACTCTTTATATACCATTTCTTACAGGCACTTACAGTGATTTGGCATATTATGATTGGATACATGTCTTGAAGACCCTTAGCGACTAACACGTAATTTGTTAAGCACAGGTGTGAGAACTTGGCCTTGAAAGCTTGCCAACAGTCCGCAGTTCTCATTAACTTGGTAAATTACAGCTTCTTCTTCTCTTGCTTACTTAAGCTTCCTTGGGGCTCTCAGGGCCTTGCTGTACCTTTCAGGATTATTCAGTTTATGTACCAATTATGCATTCTCCCATGAGAATACTGTCTCCACAAACCAACCCATAAAATAAAAAATAAAATTAAAAAAAAAAACCAACCCACCCCCCCCACCCCCCCCAACCTGAAACAACCCCCATACAAATAATCCCCCCAAACAACCTCCCTTTCATATTGTTGAATAGAGAACTGAGATTGAGAAACAGAAGACAGTGGTACAGAGCTCACCTAAGGCTCTGGCTTAGGGAATACCATGTGAATAAAGCATGCTGTGTATGCCCGTGGTGCTGCTGAGAGCTGGACACAGAGGCCAGCCCCACATTCAAGGACTCATGAAGCACATGTTATCAGTTGGCTGTTTGTGAGATGCTGAATAGTGAGACAGAAGCAACCAAGATTCCTTGACCAAGGCCATCTACAGAAGTTGCTCAAAACACAGTAAGAGACACAACTGCAGTATGCTGCTTTGCTTCTTCCTATGAACTACTCTTCCTTCCTCCTAATCTTTTATGCATTCTTCAAATGACTGTCTCATCACTATGCTCTGTTTCTCTCCAATTACCATGAAAAGTTAGAGGAGCTGTCTTAAGGTATTTCATATAAATGCATGTTTTCAGGAATGATATGTAGAATTAAAAATTATGAAAGTTCAGAAATCAAGCCCACAAAGTTTAAGTTTTTATTCACTTCCTTTGGTCTTCTTCCTGAAGTATTACTTCAAGAGTATATAGAAGAATGAATGAATATAGACTAGCCCCAAAATTGTGGCCATGAACTTTATGTTCTGCCTTTAAAGTATTTTTTATTTTTAGGAACTGAACCCACATAATTTGAGAAATTGTTGGGGCACTTTTAATTTGGTAGGAAAACAGCATATTTTCCTTAAATTTCACAGTGTAGTACTTTGTAATGTAATACAATACAATAGTTGGTGTGGGCTATCCTGAGCATGTACCAGGTTCTCCTTTATTTCCTTCAGAAGGAATAAGGTTAAGTGTACCATGCACTGCACAGGGAATGAGGTGGGAGTGGTGAGGGAATATACCTGCTGAAAAGCAGTTTTCCAGGGCTTAAATCTGTAGCTATTCTGCTCTGGGACTAGAGTTAGTTCAGAAGTGCATTTTAAAGTCATTTGATTCAATGTTTGTGAATGGATGAAGTACAGCTTGTTAAACAGCTAGCATTAATTTCCCTATATGTCTGGCTAAGTAGTTAGACTAATGAAGACCTGGCAGAAGGGCTAAAGTTAGATGTAATGTAAGCCTCTGAGAAAAAAAATGTATGGGTTTCTTTAGTATGTGGTATAAGAGATCAAGAGGGATTGGTTGGATTTTATTCTTTTAAATACGCTTTTCCTAATGTTTTATACAGTTTGTTTCCATAAACTGTTGAAAATGGGATGAGATGATGGTTGTGCTTTCACATACGGTGTTCTTTTTCCCTCTGCTAATGTGTTCAGAGATCTTCTCAATGAAGGGAGAATAACTTCAGATATATAAACCCCCAAACCTTAAGGGTGTCCTATAAATGACTTGTTCTCTGCCTTGTGTGACTCAGCCTTGAGTGATAAATACCATCAGCAAAAATGATGGCATTGGGGTGTTATTTTTTGCCATGTGTTGAGCATATTTTAAGTGGCGGATCTAGAATCACAGCAAGACATT